GATAGTTTTTTTACGGAATTAAGAATTTCAGTTAAGTCAACAGAATACAAAGACCCAGATGATATGGTGAGAGACCGAATTATGTTAGCAATATCAGATAAATCAACATAAGAAAGGCTTCTGACAGAGCCGAAACTATCTTTGCAAAAAGCAGTGGATCATTGTAGGGCTGTAGAAGCAAGCAAGTCCCAAGCTTAGGCTCTAGCAAATGAAGCCTCTGTAAGTGCCATTAGACTCAGGAAAGGTTCAAACAGAAGTGATGTGTCTTATGGTCAGCAGGAGAAATTCAAATGCAGTTTTTGTGGCTATAAACATGTTAGAGGCAAATGCCCTGCATATGGTGAATTTTGTAATGAATGCCAAGGAAGAAACCACTTTGCTAATGTATCCAAAAAGAAAGAGTCTAGGAAAGAAGCGAATGAAAATAGAAGTCAACGGAAAAAAGTGAGTGAGGTGAAAGTGTCAGGATTCAGTGAAAATGTTGATAATGACCAGAGTAATAGTGACTCTGATGATTTTTATATTGGGTCATTAGTGAGGAGTGTTGATGGGCTGACGTCGAAAGCTGATTTCGAGTGGACCAAGGAAATAGTTGGGGAAGGTACAGCTATTGAATTTAAACTGGACACAGGGGCTAAAGTAAGTGTGATTCCTAAACATATTTCAAAAAAGCATGGCATTAAGAAGGATATTAAAGAATCTCGAATAACTTTAATTTCATATGGCAGCCCTGATTTTAGAATAAAGCCCATCGGAGAAGTCTCACTATTGTGTAACATTAATAACAAGTTGACATATTTACCGTTTGTTGTAGTTAATAGTCAAAATCAAATGCCTCTGTTGGGTTTATCAGGTTGCCTGGAGTTAGAGTTAGTTGAACAAGTTGATTCCGTTCATTATGTTAATTTTAATACTTTGAAAGATGTTGAATTTTTGTATCCGAAAGTGTTTGGAGGATTAGGTCAATTCTCAACTGAGCATAAAATTGTTCTTAAAGAAAATGCTAGACCCCATATTCAGGCAGTGAGACGCATACCTCAAACTCTTCACAATAAAGTTAAATTGAAATTAAAAGACCTTGAGAATCAGGGCATTATTGGAAAAGTTGAGAAGCCTATAGAATGGTTAAATCCCCTAGTAATAGTGGAAAAGGAAAATGGAGATGTCGACCCGAAATACTTAAATGAAAATATAGCTTGAACACTTTTTAATTCCTACAGCCGACGAAATTGCTAGCAAACTCAGTAACAAAGTCATTTCTACAGTATTGGATATGAAAGATGGTTATTTCCAAGTCAAGATTGATGATCAATCTGCAGATTACTGCACGTTTGACACAGCATTTGGTCGTTACCAATTTTTTCAACTGCCTTTTGATTTCAGTTCTGCCCCAGAAGTTTTTCAGAAGAAAAATTTTGAGCTTTTTGGTGACATTAATTTATTTTGACGATCCTATTATTTCGGGTAAAACAGAGGCTGAGCATGATAGAAATACGAAGCGCGTTCTTGACCAAGCCGTCAAATATAATATTGAGTTTAACCAGGACAAAATACAATTTAAATCAAAAGAAGTAAAATTTCTGGGACAAGTTTTTTCAAAAGATGTTATTGAAGCCAGTAACTCTCATATTAATGCCATTTTGGGAATGCCGAATCCCCAAAATAAAGCTGATCTCTTAAGATTGCTTGGCATAGCTAAATTTTTGAGTAAGTTATCCCCAATTTGTCGAAAGTGTCTGCGCCCCTCAAAACCTTGACTCGCCAAGATGTGGATTGGAAGTGGGCCAGCGAACATGATGAGGCGTTAAGACAATTAAGGTATTTACTGAGGTATGCTCCTGTCTTGATATTCTTTGAGCCTTCCTTGCCAATGGAAATTGAAACTGACGCCTTAAAAAATAGCATTGGCTCTTGTTTATTGCAAAATGGCCACCCAGTAGCCTTCGCTTCGAGAAGTTTAACAAAAGTGAAGCAAATTATGCTCAGATTGAGAAGGAACTTTTGGCAATCTTGTTCAGCTGTCAAAAGTTTCATTATTATGTGTAGGGTGTTAAAAATGTTAAGGTTTGTACTGACCACAAACCACTAGAGTTAATTTTAAGAAAAAGCCTACAGTTTGTATCTCCAACGCTGCAAAGAATGATCCTTAAATTACTTAATTACAACCTAAAAGTGATATATAAGCCAGTCAAATATTTATTTATTGCAGATACACTATCTCGTGCTTTTTTAACTAAATCTGGGGACTCTACTCAATTAAATTTAGAATATAATGTTCATGAACTGTCAAATTATTTGCCCATCTCTAATGAAAAAAAAAAAAGAATTGTTAAGGAATTTAACAAAAAATGACCCTCAATTACAGTGTGTAATTAATTTTGTCAAAACTCAGTGGCCTTCTAGCAAAACACTAATCCCAACTTTGGCAAGTCATTTTACTCAAGTATGTTTTATCGATATCTGATAAACTACTATTTTTTAACACTAAGCTAGTTGTTTCAAAAGATCTTAGAGAAGAGATGCTCACAAGACTCCACGAGGGCCATTTAGGGATTGAAAAGGTAAATGCTCGGGCTAGGCAAATCTTTTATTGGCCACTTATGTCACAGGACATTGAAAATTACATTAAGAAGTGTAAAATTTGTGAAAAGTTTGCCATGAAGAATTCAAAACAGGAGCTTTTGTCATATTCGATTCCAGAACGTCCTTGGAAAAGAGTGGGTGCAGATATTTTCTCATATGGCGATAGGTCTTATCTTGTAGTTATGGATGCATATTCAAACTGGTTGGAGTTGGCTCCATTAAAAAACAAGTAAGCTAATGAAGTGATAAAAATATTCAAATCAATTTTTTTCCATATTTGGATGTCCAAACAAGCTAGTTTGTGATAACGTCCCCTTTGGGAGTTTGACTTTTAAGGAATTTTCAAAAGAGTGGAATTTCGATATAACTGGCGGAAAAAGCTGTAGGCATTGCAAAAAAGCTACTCAAAAATCTTTGGAAGAGGGCAAGGATATTTTTGTAGCCCTAATCCGATATCGAAATTCACCTCTTAAGTTATTAAACTACTCCCCCTGTCAGTTACTCATGAGTCGAATGTGCAAGACAAAGTTGACAGTATCAGCAGACTTATTGGAGCCCTTATTATGTGAAAATGTAAAAGAACGGCTCGAGCTGGAGAAGGCCGGAATAAGAATTACTTCAATAAGACTGCAACTCAATTGAAACCGTTAGAACCTGACCAAAATGTTTCGGTTTTTAACCATGTAAAGAATCATTGGGAGCCAGGTAAGATATTGGATTTTGCCGAAGGTCCAAGATCTTACCGGGTTTTGGATTCTCATGGAAATGTAATGAGGAGGAATCGTTTTGATCTGAAGGACTCTCATATTGATCATATACTGGAACCGGATTGTAACACTGACTTTAGGCACGATTGTGAAAATGCTAATACTATGCGTCGTTCTCCTGCAAAGTCTGATTGTAATTACTCAGAGCCTACTAAGCTCCCAACTGAGATTCAGTCTGATAGTGAAGCCACTTTTGTTCAAGCCTCTTCGCCTCCTTTGGATCTCCATCAGAAGTCCAAATCTGGTCGTACAATAAAAAGGCCCGACAGATTGAATCTTTAGTTAATCTTTTATTATTACTGATTTTGTAGTATGTGTAATTTTTGAGTCTAGAAGAATATGTTTATTTTTGAGAGAAGAGATGTATCATAAATAGTCACGTCGGTGGAATGCAACACAGGGCGTTGGCCCGGGGGCACCACCGATGTGCTGTCACCTGCCACTTGGCAATTGTTTTGTTATGGTTTTTGTAATACAGTTTTGATTTTGGGATGCTGATTTGAATAAATACTTGTTTATTTACGACTGAGATCTAATGTGAGTATTACATTTGTGACTTTGGCAATATAATGCCATATATTATTCCCGCAGGGATTAATGGTCAATATTTCCGCTTGCACACCAATCACAAAATTTCTCAAATCAAATAAGCAGTACCATGGAACCAATATAAACAAACTCAAAAGTGTCACTGTCAAACGCGTAGTGCTTGTGTGTTTGTATTGAGATGGATGAACAACGAGCGTTTTTGAAACGAAAATTTCAAATAAATTACTTTGCCGTAAATAAAGCAGAGTATACTACTCGCAATAATGGCTATTATTCCCTCGGAATGTTACTCCCTCGCCGCTAAAGCGGCTCAGTTCGTAAAATATTCCTCGGGAATAATAGCTATCATTATTGACTCGTGGTATAATCTACTATTTGAAGACACATTCATTGTTTAAATAATACAATTTCTATTCTGATCGACCTAAAATCTGCAATCGACACATTTATATCCATAAAGTCTGTATTTGACAGTGGACTCTGAATTTTATTAGTCATTCACTTTTCTTGTGCACTCACTGAGGAAAATGATTTTTTTTTTAATCTTCTCATTTCTTCATTATTTGCAAGAATATATCTCAATATTTAGATTTGCCTGGTGGTTGAAAAGTTCCACTTTTTTTCTCTCATGATTGGTATGCATGACAATAGTTTTCAAAGAAATACAGACAGCGCAAAAACTAAATAATTAATTGAAAGACTATATTATAAAGGGCAAATTGAAAGATATGTGAATGTCATGTACGATTTAGATATACATCACATCGTTGAACCAATTTTATACTATCTACTTACACCGTTGCTTACACGTTTTATACAAACTGCCAATTAGCGCAAACGAAATATTTCTATTTCGTAATGATTGCTTTACGGTGTCATTTGTATCGAACGAAATGCACATGCATTCATACTGTTTGATTCGCGTAATCATTTCCTGGTTAATATTTTTCAAGCACCATAGTTTAAAACAAAAACTATTTGCTGCTTTGTTTCTGCAATAAAAATCTTACCGATAAATCAATCCAGAAACGAGCATGCCCTACTAGAATTTGTTTATTCGACTAAATTACAATATTCTGAATAATTATTTATTTTTCACAGGTTGTTGATGTCACCAAATCAGTTGAAGCATGCTGCGAGGGCTTCAAAGAACAGAACAATTTGTGTGTAAGCCAATGTCAAAAATGCTTAAATGGTTTATGCTTGAATGGTTTCTGCGTCTGTCAGATAGGATGGAATGGATCTCAATGTGATACTCGTGTGTATGCAAAATTATTGAGTCTCATAGTTTTATTTAAAACATGTATTTTTCAGCTACTGCCAGTAGCACACCAGACATTTCTTCAACATCCATTGGAACAATAAGTACGTTATCATCATCCACGCTTTTAACTACATCAGCGACAACAAAAAATGTGGAACCCGTTCCAAAAAGAAATAAAGCACAAACTATTCCTGCAACAGAACCAGCGAATACCAAACGTCCAATCACGAAACCTGAAGAATTAACCACTCCTTCAACACAAAACCCTTATGTAACTCTCATACCAATAACTACAATAAAACAACCAAGTGATGATGGAAAATTTACACCTTTATCAACAACATCAAAAATAATCAATTTTCTAGAAAATAATTCCGCGCGTCCCGCGATAAGACATCCAATTCTAGACGATGTTCTCAACATTTATAAAGCGTTTATGTCCACAACTACTGAAGATCCAGTTTTAAGCGAGGATCATGAAGGATCTGGTGCAAGATCTAAATCAAGGATAGAAGAATATGATGCTACAAACACTCCATATTTTGATATCAAATCTGATGTTTTTTCGACAACTGAATACGATATTTTTGACAGTAAAGAAGCAAATCGAGATTTATCTTCAAATATTGATACACAAGAGAGTGATTTGGATTATAGAGAATTAGATCTTGCAGGGGCAGGTAACATTTCTTTGAAAAATAATGAAGAAAACACTATTGACCAATTGGATTCTCAACTATCAACCACCAAAAAATCGCTCAAAGTTTCACCTTCGGTAGATGATCACCCAATTTTCAAAGAAAACTTTTTGGAAAATATCGATGATTTCGTTGGAGAAAGATACGAGAAACGTTCTTCCATGGAAAATTTAAGTGATACTAAACTTACTATAACTGAGCCGGCTAGTAAACATTTGATATACAGTATTTGTGCAGCTTCACTGACTACGTTTCTCATATTGGTAATTGTGGTCACATTGTATGCAGTGAGGAATTCTAAGAAAAAAGTGGAAAATAATAAAGTCAAGAAGGATATGGCCACTGTAGCCGTTTTCACTACGAGTATTTTTCATTCGCCATTACCAGGTAGGTAACCGTTTAATTGTCATCTGATTTATGCCTATACTTTGTAACCGGTTGTTAGGTCATTGGTTGTTACAGGCTTCATAATTCCTGATAAAATACTTTTTTTAATGGTACACATTGAATATTCGCATTTCACAGATTTTTATGCTCCGACTCCAAAGTTTGGGTTGCTGGATTTTGCTTCAGGTTAACTAAGGCAACATCAGATTTTGGGGGCTTTTCCTATTACGTGATCCGTGATTCAGGGGCTGTCTTATTCGTAGCTGAGTAGCAGATGCACGTTACGGCAGGTTTGGATCATATATTATCGAAAATGTTTACTTACTTCAACAAGCCAACATTGCCCATTTGTAGGTGCATTTCTGCAGTTGAATCTGTAGGTAATGTACCATATTATTCTCAGTGCTTGTAACTCAGTAAAGGAAGCAGCGCTGAAGCCCAATTGGCTTTTCATCTTGTAGCTTTTATTTGATAACTTTATCTGTCATCTTTTCAGAAGAAGCTAGACACCGATAGGGCATAATCATAGCCGCGTGGTTCCAGCATTGTGAGACGTGACCCAGTCTCAAAAAGGAGTTGGTTATATTAGGCGATACCATTACAACTTTTAGGCAGCATCGGAAGTCGCATTACGCATTACGGCCGGATGCCTTGTTGGAATTCAGACCTTTGATGTCCTGAGTTTCCGGGAAGTGACGTGATTCTTGATCCACCTTCTTCTCTAGTTCACCTAGTCTGCCAGCGGAGTGGTCAGTCTCATCCTGGTGATTGTCATCTTCATTTGTGTGTTCATTTAGGCGGCATTCTTGCTCTAACAGGAATTTGCGAAAGCTGTGTTTAGATCAGGGTGAACCATTCGATTTGGGTCCATGCAATGATGCAGGGCCGTATCTAGGGAGGGGTTTTGGGGGTTCAAACCCCCCGCCCCCCCCCCCAAAAAAAATAATAAATTTCAAAAAATTTAGCTTAAAAACAAACAACACTTATTAAATAGGTACTTATTTTTTTAATTTTTTTATTACTAGTGTAACAATTTTTTTTGCCACTTTGTCTAACCCCCCCCAAATTTTTGGTCTAGATACGGCCCTGCAATGATGGAATGGTAGTTCTGTCTTGTCTCAGGTATTGCTGCATTCTTGAGTGGCAATAATGTTGAGCTCTTGTTTTCAGTGACCAACTTCTCTAGAAGGTCTTGGTTTGACGTTCTCTGTATTGGCCTGGTTATACAATAGATTTTTATTTCGTTTCAAAATGCAATAATGTAAGGTTTCAATATTCAGTTGCAACCGCTTCAGCTTAGAGTTACCTGTGGATCACTACTGGGACGTTACCTATCTTGCCTTGAAGCTTTCCCTTATAGCTTCCACAGCTGGTTGTGCTGTTCATCCTCTTGTCGATGGCTCGCTACGATTATGAATTTTACCAGATTGGGTTTTGATGTTCCTTCTTTAGTCTCTATTTGAAAATTATTGAAAATTTCTATTTCGAGCTCAGTATGACCTGCTTTCTTTTGGTGGTATATTGGTCTTCAAAGACTGATGACGATTAATGGGGTGAGGTAGCTGAAAATTATACCAGAATATTTCACGTCTGGCAACCAATGCGTCCTTTCGAGCTCAGATAGTACTTGGGTAGATGAGTCTTAAAAGCCCGGCACACAATTTTTCTGGCCCTCTAACGGCGTTGATAACAATAATTATTGCCGCCTAATTTCTAGGACATGATTCTACATTTTCTTATATAATTCGAGTTTGTACTTTGATATTAACTTCTATCATTAGTATATTGCACATCATCATTTAGGTACATGATTCTAGAAATACTTGCAAATTTAATGAAATTGTTGATTTTTCTTTCGATCTTGCACACCCTGTATACCGTTCGAAAGGTTTTTTCGCGCACAAAAAAGAATACAAGTTTTAAGCTACATATAACGGATTCTAAGTTATTTAGCAAAATTATTGTTCCTAATTTTGTTAAGAGGGGCGTTTAAATAAAATTTTATTAACAGACCTTCACAAATTTCTGTTCAATTCCAAATTTAGACCACTTTTCAGTGAAATGAAGTTATGTTCATAACAATAAATAGATTGGAGTATGGGTAGAGTTTCCATAAAGGTTTTTCGGAAATCAGGACAAAGGAGGCAAGAAATCCGGACAAAATCCGGACTTTGCCGAAATAGCTATTTATGCAACAAGTGTGTGAAGTGAAAGGCGAGTGCGACAAAATTAAAATTCGCGAAAAAAGGTTCAGTTCACACACGTATTGCATAAACAAAAAAATTTCTACTACCAATAAAATATCATATTTTATTGGTAAAAAATATGTGTAAAAAAATAAATTTAGACAAATACTTTACGCACTAGTGCGTGAAGTTAGGTAATTTACTAGAAAAAAATGACAGCGTCAACATCTGTCATTGACATTACTTCACGCACGCACTAGTGTGTAAAATGAATTACTTTACGTACTATGCTGCTAATTCACGAGGTCATAATGTAAGCAACTCGGACAGCTGTGAGCGTGCGCAGTAGATACATGTACTGTGCGTGCGCAAAATATAGCCAACGAAAATCAATGAATTAAACAAACACACTAGAACGGTGGCTGCATAATGTTTCTAACGCAAGGGCTCGTGCCAGGAAGGACAACAAACAAGTGGGATTTGTTTCTCTCTCTGCACTATGGCGGCTATTGAGAACTGCTTGAAGTGTTTAGATCATTGAGGTTAGGAAGATGAAGAAGCTCTTCTTTCTTTTACGTTAATCGTAATAAGTCCGAGCGAGACAACAATCCCACTGTATTGCTGGGTTGCATATATCAAAATTCGGCACACTAGCATAAAGCAGTGCGCCCGTTCCAGAGTGTTTGTTTAGTTCGATGATGAAAATAAAGGATATTCCGAAATGTAGAACAGTTGTTCGAAAGATAAACACTGCGCAGGCGTTAGGCTGGTCCGTTGCACAACTGTTCGTAGAATATTGACCCCAAATTTTCGCACAAATTTAGCCAATCAAGCCGTACGATCGTTTATCCATTTATTTTTGAGATCAGTGGCGTTTTCACGATCTCCGAGTTTTCCGGAGATTGCTCCGAATTCCGGCCGGACTTCCCCGGACACCCTAAAAACCCAAACATGTCTGGGTATATCCGGAGGTATGGAAACCCTAAGTATGGGTCGAAGCATTTTTGATTGCAAAATACGCAGTCTAAATAGTAAAATTATTACCAATTTTGTTGACAACAGTATGAAATTTTCCGAATTTCGTTTTTTTTCTTCGAATATCTCTAGAAATTGTCAATTTTTTAAAAATTTGTTGGATGCATTTTCTTAGTCATTAAATAGTGCAACTTTTTTCCCATTTAACCATTGCTGTATCTGTTACCGTTTACGATATCCCCATGAATAGACATTCTTATCTTAAACACCCTGTATATAACTGCTATTTTCTAAGCAACAGTTGCTTTCTTTCTAGCTTTTTTTTGGACGAAATTTTCATTTCCATTCCAAAATTAGTGGCATGAGCCACGCTCAAGGGATTACTATAATATACAATATTTATTTAAGTTTAATAGCCAAATATAACATCGTATTCAATGTAATCTTAATAATGTATTTAATTCATTTATGATCACCAATCATTCTCGGAGCACTGTCCTTCACATACACAAAGTTTCGTACAAGGTATTCCCATTTTAACACATTTACAAGATGTGCATCCGTGCATCGCTTTCGACAAGCACAGAAAGTGAGTTGTACACAGTGTTTTGACACTTCTGGAATTGTTCGAGGCTGTTGTTCCAGATTCTTGTTTGGAGAGCAGCTCGTTTGATGTGTTGTTTTAAAGCATCTGCTGTAGGACGAATATTTTCGATTGTCCGATTCTTTCTTGTAAATTACACTCGTCTGCATTCATTGATGTTCTGAAGATCTGATGCTCCATCATAAAGTAGAGTAACAGAACGCTGCAACAGATCATGACATTCATTATCAATATCAGAGGTGCCTGTACATAGCCGCTGCCATACACAATCAATTCCACTTTTATGACATCCAGACCATCCAAGCTATCTTCTTGCCAATGACACAAAATGTGGAAACTGTGTCACAACCTGTAAATTTCCGGTGAGAGTGTGGCACAAATCTTATGAATTGCAATCAATTTTCTGTTTTTTTTTTTCACAACCATACTCAATCCATAGATCATCAATACCTATCTTGTATTTGTGGAAACAGTGATACTGAAATAACCTGAGTCCACAGTTGGAATCAAGACGCGAGTATGTCCACTTTCTACTGCATGCTTAACATCGAGAAGTAAACGGCCATCTGCTTCTTCGTGTGAGGCGGGAGAAATACTTGAAACATCCATAGTTGTTGACGTGAGGACTTGGTCATCATAAGTTCAGACAACATGTTTTCTTGGATACACGACTCTCGCCATTTTCTCAGCAAGCAACTGGAATAATTGTGTCTTATTTCCGTTAACACATAAGAATTGCCTAAATTTTTTTGGAATTCTAGTTGAGTCTGAGACTTTAATACTTATGCCACTTCCGCGGGTATCTGCCTTCAGACTGTTACTAACATATCTGTCGAATACAATATCTATTCGTGAACTATTCTTCTGTTGATTTGTGAAATATGGTTTCAAAACATGTTCATAGTATTCGGAATTAGTTTGGAGCTCCCTACTGATACCAAATCGGTTTCTCCAAACGGATTTCCTTGTTCGATTGAGACATTATTCATTTTTTTAACATGGGTTCAAAAACCTTTTCTTAAATGCATTGTTGTCCTCATGATGCTTCGCGTCCACGTTTTTGTCATCTTTCAATTTTGATTTCTCCTCAAATTCCTCAATTAAAGAACTGATCCTAGGGCCTGCTACCATTCACTTGAGCAGAGCATTTTCACTGTCAAGGATTCCAATAGCGCCACCTCTACCCTTTATAAATTTGTCATTGTGTTTATGAAGCTGATCGTCAGATATTGCAG